ATGTTTTTTTTCCCCCACCTGCCAGGTGAGGGTTGTTAGATTTTATCAGAGCTGTTCTCCTCCTCCTCCTCCGCCTCCTCAATGCCCCATCCTCGTGCCTCCTATCCTTCCCGCTCCCTCTCTCAATCCTTCACAGCCGCCTTCCATTCCATCCATACTCTTCCCCGATCCCATTTTGGGGGGCCCTCTCCTATGACGCGCGGTCCCTTCCCTTTATCTCTTCTCCAGATCCCAGTGGGCACTGCAGGGGACCGTCAACCCGCGTATTTTCACCCATTCTGCATTTTTCATCATGCGCGTACTCTCCCCCTTCTCCTTCGCCTTGGAGGTCTTGTTCACGTTTTTCCCTTGCCTGGTGCCCATCAACCGCGACTTCCAGATCGCAGTGGGCACTGCCGGACCTCAAGGGGAAGAATGTGAGAAAAGATGTCAGATAGAATGTCAGAAGATATGCCAGATAGAATGCCAGAAAGAATGTCAGAAAGAATGTTATGCCAGACAGAATGTCGGAAAGAATGTCAGAAAAAATGTCAGAAGATATGTCAGATAGAATGTCAGAAGATATGCCAGATAGAATGCCAGAAAAAATGTCAGAAGATATGCCAGATAGAATGTCAGAAAGTATGTCAGAAGATATGCCAGACAGAATGTCAGAAGATATGCCAGAAATAATGTCAGAAGATATGTCAGATAGAATGTCAGAAGATATGCCAGATAGAATGCCAGAAAAAATGTCAGAAGATATGCCAGATAGAATGTCAGAAAGAATGTCAGAAGATATGCCAGAAAGAATGTCATAAGATATGCCAGAAAGAATGTTCTGAATGCCACAAGATATGCCAGAAAGAATATCAGAATATATGCTAGATAGAGTGCCAGAAAGAATGCCAGAAGATATGCCAGATAGAATGCCAGAAAGAATGTCAGAAAGAATGTCAGAAGATATGCCAGATAGAATGTCAGAAGATATGCCAGATAGAATATCAGAAGATATGCCAGATAGAATGCGAGAAGGTATGCCAAATAGAATGCCAGATAAAATATCAGATAGACTGCCACAAGATATGCCAGATAGAATCCCAGAAGATTTACCAGATAATATGCCAGAAGATATGCCAGATAGAATGGATATGCCAGATAGAATGCCAGAAGACATGCCAGATAGAATGCCAGAAGACATGCCAGAAGATATACCAGAATATATGCCAGAAGATATGCCAGATAGAATGCCGGATCGAATGCCAGAAGATATGTCAGATAGAATGCCAGAAGATTTGCCAGTAACAAATCGATAAATGTCATGGTGGGGATCACTCGAAGTAAAGTAATTTCTGATAAGAGGTCAACAAAATACGCTCGAAGATCCAGTTTTTTGGAGGTATTGATTTTCATTCATATCATCCCAGCTGCACCCCTGGAGGTTTCCCAGGTGCAGCCCAAAGGAGACTGCCATCATCTACCAGCGGTCCCGCCATGTTTCAGGGCCTTCTGGGCAAAGCTGCCTCGGCAGGGATGGGGCTGTCATGATTCCCATGTGCAGTGGGGTGGGGATGGGTCACTTCTTGGCTCGATTAGGGGTATTAGCCTTTCCAAAGCCATGGTTGAATGAGCAAGATCATTTAATGGATGGCAGAACCAAATATATAATTTTTGATCTATCTGGCACTGATACTTCGAATTGTGAGATTGAATATCCTCATACAATTTATCACCAACATTAGGTGGCTAGCGCCATGTCACTGTCAAAGGCTTCGGTTTCGGTGGATGATGAGTTGGCCCGCATGTGGGAAGCTGATCTCCGGATCAGGGAACGCATGCGTTTCAATGATGCCAAGCTGCTGGTGTGGCCGAAGAACAAGCAGGGTAAGGAGATGGTTGGCCAGCCTTCAATGCAAGCACTGGCCATGAACAGCCACATCATGACCCTCATGGCATCTTGGTGGTGCCCGACCCAAACCACTCCAAAGACTCCATCCATCCAAGTGGTGAAAGCTCAGGATGGGCCAATCCAATTTCCCAAATGGTTACATAAATTTACGCAATCCAATTTCCCAAATGGTTACATAAATTTACCCAATCGAATTTCCCAAATGGTTACATAAATTTACCCAATCCAATTTCCCCAAATGGTTACATAAATTTACCCAATCCAATTTCCCAAATGGTTTAAGAAATTTACCCAATCCAATTTCCCAAATGGTTCCAGACTACAGATATTTACGCAATACAATTTCCCAAATGGTTCCAGACTACAGAAATTTACCCAATCCAATTTCCCAAATGGTTCCAGACTACAGAAATTTACCCAATCCAATTTCCCAAATGGTTACAGACTACAGAAATTTACCCAATCCAATTTCCCAAATGGTTACAGACTACAGAATTTTACCCAATCCAATTTCCCAAATGGTTACAGACTACAGAAATTTACCAAGCTAGCAGCTAGTGTTAGTATAAACCCTTTTACTTTTAAACAACGGACTTCTTTAAATCATACCACAACTTAAAAATCTAGCAAGCCTTTTGTCCTTGACAGGTTTCAGCTTTGCGTCGGCTGTGCGCTGTCAACCCTGACTTGGGCACTCTTCAATGTGATTCCTGGGGAGTTAAGAAGCTGTTTTCCTATGGCTGTCGTCGAGCTGGATTTGACAAGACCTTGTCCAAGAGCCCTCAGCGGAGAGTTTCCCACTGGAAATCAAAGATTTTGTTTCAAGGTTTTCTGCGTGCTAACTTGGGTGTCACAAAGGAAGCCAGCTTTTAGACATGGAGGTCCCAATTTGACACGTCAAAAAACTTTGGCCCGTTCACTCATCAGGACATTGGAGTGAGCGACTTCTATGGGGAACTCTTCAAATGGTGGAGTCTCAGAATTCGCAGGGGTGGTTCTTCATCTTCTCTTGGTGGCATTGACTCTCAAGTCATTGAGCTGGAAGACTCTGGGGATGAGGCGGGTGATCTCAGCATCATCATGGAAGTGAAACTCAAGAAGGACCCTGAGGAGTTGGATGAGTTGGCAGGAGGTGATCTGAAGGAGAATTTGGCGGTGACGGTAGCGGCTGTTGACCCTTACCTGGAAACTGGCATGATGAGTGCAGAGCTCCAGGACTACACCGAGTCAACAATGGCCATCTTGAATGAAGCCATGAATGCGGAAGCTGAAGATGAAGTTGGGGCTTCATCCATCTACCTAGAACCCGAATACCCTCCCGAGAAGGTCACTGAAGCCAAAGAGGTTGAGCCCGGACATGCTGATCAACTTCGACAACCAGCAGTGACAACTGAAGCTGAGGTGCCTCCAGCTAGTGCCCCGTCCAAGGGGTTCACGCCGATTGATGTGAAGGCTTGCACTGTCAAGGATGTGGAGGAGCGGATTCGCTTTCTGCAGCACTTGGGTGTCAAATCAATATCTTTTATGTGTGTTTTCTTGGTAGTTTGGAACGGCCTGTTTTTTTTCTTTCAAGCCACATGGTTTATATATATAGGGATGTTTTTGGCACAACTTGAATGTTGATTAAGCTAAGGGGGCTCCTGCAGAAGAAGAAGGAGGTTGCGGAGGTTGCTACGGACTTCGCTGATACCCTTCCGTTTGATCCATCTCCAGTTGCGTCAGTCTTGAAGAAGCAGCTTTCTGAGATTGAAGTGGTTGACTCACAGGATTCTCCACCCAAGACTTCTCAGGTGTGCAGGTCTTTGGCCCACGAGTTTTCTGACATCGATGCGAAGTCAGGCATGGCCTGACCAAAACTTACCAAGACTTAACAAGAGATACCACTTAATGGTTTTACAAAAGAGTTCCATTGAAGGAATGGCCCATCCCCTTTTCACAGGTGGATCTTCTCAAGTCTTGACTGAAGAACCGGCAGCTGACACTGCGGCAATTACCCTTGATTCACCTCAAGTTGGCAGACCTGACGGTGAACTTGTTGCACCTGGGCCTGCTACACCAGCGCTTGCTTTGGCAGAACCTTCAGCGCTGCCTGCTTGTGAAGTACGTCCAGCAGAGCCTGCCTGTGAGGAACCTGTAGGAACTGTTCCGGAAGTGGCCCCCGCACCAACCTTGTCAGCACCAGTGGTGGCATCTCCTGCACAACTTTGCCCTGAAGCAACCCCTCCAAAGGAGACACAGAATGAAGTTGATTCGGCAGAGGACGTCACCAACAAACGAAGGACCGTGCCAGTCTTGATTGTTCCACCCAATTGGGACGTGCCCATTCACCAAAAAATGGTGGACATCTTTGCTCTTTCCAAGAAGCCGGAGGCCAGTCCGGCCAAGTCTGCCGAGGGCGATGATGTTGTTGTGGTTGATGAAATTGATGGTTCAGATTGCCAGCAGGCCAAATGCCCTGACGAGTTGGACGTGGAGAATGAAGATGGCGAGCCCCCTGTGACCCTGAGAAGGGAGCAATGGACCTTGAGACCTAAGACCTCTAGGGGGAGAGGAAAGGGCCGCGGTCGTGGCAGAGGCCGGGGCAAGCAACCTGTTGATCCTGGCGTTGTGCAGTCCAGCGGTGAAGAAGCTGAAGCTGAGATGGTGCCCGTTGCTGATGTCAAGCCCAAGCGACCCAGGGCAAAGGCAAAAACCACCAAGTCCCAAAAGGAGAAACCTCCCCGCAAGGAGAAACCTGCTGCTCCTAAGGCTGCTCCGAAGAGACGAGGCAAGAAGAATGCAGAGAAAGCTGTAGTCTCAGCCGAGGCTGATGCTATGGAGAACAACGGGGACAAGGAGGTGAAGCAGACCGCAGCTGTGGATAACCATGGTGACGAGGACGGGGGTTGGGGCTGTTTGTTCGTTCTTGCTAGTGTTCAATGGTCAAACCGATGACTCGGAACAACAATAGACGAGTCATATTGTTCTTTCACTTTTTATTTTGGCTTTGTAGGAGCCTGCCCATCATCCAGAACTGCAAGAAGAGCCTGAGAAGCCAAGCGGCCCAGAGCCATTGCGGAAGAGGGCCAAATGGGGGGAATCCACCAATGGCCCTTCGTTTGCCCGCAGGGTTTGCCCAAAGCTTGCCCCAGCAAAGCAGCAGTGGGAGGCCATCAGGGATGTGTTCGAGAAAGTGCTTCGACCATATCTTGTGCAGCTTGGGTTCGAGCAAGGTGGCTTTCAGGCGCAGGGTTGGTACACACACAACTGTAGCTGGTGGGTGGATGACTTAGCATGTGGGTTCCAAAGGTTAGAGGTCACAAGAAGGCACCCAAGTTGTTTTGTTTTTCGTTTTCCCCAAGTCGAGTTGACACTTTCTTGTCTGCCACTCCCTTGCCAGAATGCCATCCCTGCAGGTTGATTGGTGGGACTGGTGCAAAGATGCGTTCAAAAAGAGCGAGAAAGTCGCAGAGGTGATGAGGGATGTGAAGGACGAACAGGACCAGAATGTTCGTGGTGGCAAGCTGCTGCAGGTTTTTCTGGAAGTGGCCGACAGTGAGATTCGAAAGTTCATGGTGGACACGGAGCTGGCCCTGGATGAGTCTGACATCGCTCCTTTGTAGTATAGGGAGCCAATCGCATTCAAAGCTGGAACTTGTCATGGCCAAAGCTGTGCAACATAAAACGTTCAAAAATAGAAAGGCAATCTATATGTTGCTTTCGTGCGATTGCCTTGGAATGGTCTTTTTGTTTGCCTGACAACTCAGCTTGTCAGCTACATGACAGCCCACGGCCAATCGGCCCAGGGATGCTTTGGTGAAGTGCATCGATGGTGGTGCACACACACATACCATATGGTCCATAGCTGAGGCACGTGTGTTTTGACACATTGCCATACAAATTAATAAGCATATTCGCTACGTTGCTTCTGGGGTTGAAGGAAAACACACTCATGGATCGTGCATGGGGAATGGGATACTTATACATTCATTAGCCGTCACCCAAGTTATGATCATTGGGCCAATGCAGTTGGGGGAGCAACTTTTTGCTTAAGAAAGTTTAAGGGATGGAATTGTAAGACTATGTCAAATCATATCTATAAATATAAAGCTTAAAATTTTAATACCCCACAAAACCCTGATTTGGAGCCCAAGAAATCCCAAGGATCTTTCCAATGGTATCTGGTGGTTCTCCCAACCTCTTAGGTGAAGACCTTTGGCCGGATGCCTCGGAGTAAGACGGCCAATTTGGCCAAGTTTGGGCTGGTGAGTTCAACGCCAGCTTCTGGTTGGCCTGGCTTGTTTTTATTCTTTCACTGGATGAGGCCATCCACACTATCACTCAGGTATCATGCCCTTTGATCTCTAGTTCGGTGAATACAGTGGAGTCCCATATAAATACAGTGGAGTCCCTATAAATATTTAATATATATATATATAGAGAGATTTTGTGTACAGGGTGGATGAACCAATATGGTCTCATGCGTAAGATTTCCGCCGCTATGAAGCCATTCCGGTTCTTGGGATTATGCATGCAGGTGTGCTGTATCATTGGTGGCCCACATGTTCTTATTTGTTTTGCAGGCATGGCTTGCAATCTACATCAACACTGATTTCTTGTTTTTCGAGATACATTCCAAGTAGTCAGCCATGACTCCGACCCAGTTTGACTTGCTTATCAGACGGATGATTCGGATGAATACACCAAAAGCACCTTTTCTGCAATAGGATGTATCATTCATCATGGCTTCAGGTCATCTTAAGTTCCGAAGGCACAATACCAAAATCAATATTTGTTTGGGTAGACAGTGGGGGCCCTTCAAATCTCCCTTTCTGCGCCCAGGTTGTGGTACTACTGGTGCTCTTGGTTTGGTGGATGGACCTCCCTAGTTCGGAAACATCCCCATACCAAGTTGTGGAATATTTTAGTGGGGTTGGTCGCATAGCAATGCTATCCCGATACTGTGGTTTTACCACGGCTGCTCTGGACATTGAATATGGCATGCAGTATGCTAAAGAACATGGCAAACGAAGCCCCATGGATATAAACAGCAGTGCAGGCCTAGTGTTGCTAGCCTGTGTATTTTCAGAAAATTTTCCTTACTTATATGTATTTGCTGGGTTTGGTATTCCATCGACTGTGACCCCTGTTGATGAGATCATATTCTTATAGACCGATTTCCCCAGAAATCCAGAACAAGTTTGAGGGCTACCATCGAACGGTTTGTCTTGCAAATGCTACAGGCGACCCCCACGAAAACAATGGTATTGTTGTGCATGCAACCATTACAGTATCTGCAAAGAAGTTTGGTGATCAATTTGTGGGGGTTGCGCTGATGGGGGTTCCAAAGTAATCTTTTCTTCACTGGATGATACTGGTTCCAAAATCGGGTATACTGTTTGTAAAAAAAAGCAACCCCAACGAATGTTGCTGGCCGTGAACTGAGGTTGGCCATTTATCTGCTTCTGTCTGGAGAGTGGGAATCGATTTGCGCATTCTTTGCGGTGGTGTGCAGTAGCTATGTCCCGGTGAACCGTGCCAGCACTGGCCGCTCCATCATGACCCCACTTGGAAATCAGGATTTTATCCCCGTGAGGAAATCCAACAAACTAACTTCCAGGAGGGGCTGGCATGTCTTAGTATGCTTTCTGAGTAAAATCATGAAACACCCCTATGGTTGGTGAACGTGAGCTTCCTGATTAATTATACATTTTCGGGGATTACAAGATCACAAGAGAAACAATCATTTTTGACTATTCATCACACACTTCCCAAAATTGAATTGATACATTATGTGGCTTTAAAACAATGCTTTAAAATGTCAGGAACCCCACTGAATTATATCATTCCCAGTCTGGGCAAGAAAAACATGCTGCTGAATCCAACATATAAATAGTTTTAAATTGGTGTCAAAGATATTCGGGGGTTTACCTTCTGTTTGTTTGCCCTATGTATCATTTCCCTGGCAACAGGAGTGTCATCTTGATGTGGATTACCATATTGATGGGAGGCACCTATTGCATGGAAAATCCCCTCAACTCCCTGGTGGCTTGCCATCCCAGATACGTCTGGATGCTGGAGCAGCTCCGTGCCATTGGTGTCTACGTCCCTTGGTTATCAAACAAGGATAGCAGAGTAAGTAAACCAATGCTTGATCATATCTCGTACCATAACATGTCCTAATAATTCTCAAGATGTGTTACCATGAAACGGTATGAGGCATCGCATTGCCCCAGAAAAAATATTAGGGATTGAAACTGATTTATCTCTTTAGTTGCTCTCAGCTCTGGCCGAACCGAGACCTACAAAATAGCGTTCTGGATGAGGAAGTACAGTTCCTTCAGCTGGAAACGCACATGGGTTTGGAGCAACCGACGTGAGATTGCCAGCTTGGATTTAGGACCTCTTACCCCAGAAGAACGACGTCACTCAAAACCCACTACAACTCGATATAGAGATCGTGCTGGCAAGCAGCGGTATAAAGGTAACAAGAACTTGAAGAAGTCCCAGTAGCTCTCTCAAACATCACATATTATTGCATTTTTTTGTTTGATTTTCAGTTTGGGTGCAGCTCCAAAATATAGTATGAACTAGGGATATGGGGAATTCCTGCTTTAGAGTATGAAATGGGTTCTGTGAGGCAATATACCTACAAGTTTGCTGCCAAGCTTGTCCGCATGATCCCCAAACTTCGTGCAGAGAAGGTGCCGTTGCCAGTGGAGGCCAGTATATGCGAAAACCTAGCATGTCCCAAGAACTGGTGTGGCTTCTCGTGATCGGGTAGGACCACATGTTACAATATTATTTGTGTATATATATATATATATGAATTAAACCATAAATGGAAATGTCTCAAAATAGGAATGCCCCAAGCTTCCAATTCTTAATATAAAAAAATGCTTTTGGAGCACTCCATATGGGCATCCCTATTTTGAGACATACCCAAATATACCAACTATATTTATACAACTGTGGCTTGAAAAGCCCTGTGGAAAGTTTCATTGTTTTTGTACGCATAGCCGGAAATTATAGGCACATCTTTTTTTTGAAGTAGCACGTCCATACCAAAGGGGTTTGATATGGTCCCACTGTCAAGAAATTAGTATTGGCCATCAAAACCCACAACATAGTAGGGGATGATCATAAATGGGGAATGGGTGTCATCCAGCCCTGTCAACCCCAGAGTGTGCTAGCATGTTGCAGGTACCTTCTGGTTCGCTCATGGACCTCTTCAACAGCATGGAGTGGGATGATGGTTCCATTTCATGGGAGCAGGAAGCCGACTTGAGGAAAGCCATTATGTATGTGCGCGGCAGCAAGCTCCTCAAAATCCCAGCGGAATGGCGAAACGTCATTCCCAAATATGTGTAATTTTGAATCAAATTAAACAACTCAAGTTAATTGGGGTGGTCCAAAACCCCCTGGCCCCATACAAATTCAATACCATGGCCCGGGCCTGGTGGTCCCAGCAAAAATGTTGCTGGATCCAAATATCAATGGCTCCTGGGTACTCACTGCTGCAAAACGGGGAGGCTAACCATTGGGAAATAATAACTTAAAAAGGGGTCCACCAACTATACCACAGGGGAACTATCCGTATTCAATATATGTCTCAAAATGAGGTGCCTTTGCTTAGCTTCAAAACCGTTACTTTACGAGAAAAAATTGTCGCCGAAATGGGTACCTCATTTTGAGATACCTCCATTAATTCATGTTTATCTCGTTTGAAAGAGGTGAGGGATTTCATGATGTGGGTTTCCTGGAATTTCATGATGTGGGTTTCCTGGAATTTCATGATGTGTGGTTTTTGGGATTTCATGATATGGGTTTCCTGAAATTTCATGATATGGGTTTCCTGGAATTTCATGATGTGGGGTTTTTGGAATTTCATGATATGGGTTTCCTGGAATTTCATGATATGTGGGTTTCCTGGAATTTCATGATATGTGGGTTTCCTGGAATTTCATGATATGGGTTTCCTGGAATTTCATGATATGGGTTTCCTGGAATTTCATGATATGTTGTTTTTTTTGAATTTCATGATATGGGTTTCCTGGAATTTCATGATATGTGGGTTTCTTGGAATTTCATGATGTGGGATTCTTGGAATTTCATGATATGGGTTTCCTGAAATTTCATGATATGGGTTTCCTGGATTCTCATGATATGGGTTTCCTGGAATTTCATGATATGGGATTCCTGGAATCTCATGATATGGGATTCCTGGAATTTCATGATATGGGTTTCCTGGAATTTCATGATATGGGTTTCCTGGAATTTCATGATATGGGTTTCCTGGAATTTCATGATATGGGTTTCCTGGAATTTCATGATATGGGTTTCCTGGAATTTCATGATATGGGTTTCCTGGAATTTCATGATATGTGGGTTTCCTGGAATTTCATGATATGGGTTTCCTGGAATTTCATGATATGGGTTTCCTGGAATTTCATGATATGTGGGTTTCCTGGAATTTCATGATATGGGTTTCCTGGAATTTCATGATATGGGTTTCCTGGAATTTCATGATATGGGTTTGCTGGAATTTCATGATATGGGTTTCCTGGAATTTCATGATATGGGTTCCCTGGAATTTCATGATATTGGTTTCCTGGAATTTCATGATATGGGTTTCCTGGAATTTCATGATATGGGTTTCCTGGAATTTCATGATATGGGTTTCCTGGAATTTCATGATATGTGGGTTTCCTGGAATTTCATGATATGTGGGTTTCCTGGAATTTCATGATATGGGTTTCCTGGAATTTCATGATATGGGTTTCCTGGAATTTCATGATATGGAATTTCATGATATGGGTTTCCTGGAATTTCATGATATGGGGATATTTCATGATGTGGGAATTCATGATATGGGAGTCAAAATGTTTTTTTTGGGAAAAACTAGAAAAATTAGAGGCGGAACTTGCCGGGTAAGCGGCGGAATCACCCAGGAAAGAGGCGGAATTGCCCGGTCACCGATTTTGGAATATCATTTTTTCATGAAATTTGGGAGTCAGCACCATTTCATAAAATTTGGGATTCAGCCCCATTTCATGAAATATCGGATTCATAGGTCAAATCAAAAAAATGTACATGAAACATATATATAACCATTGCTGAACCTGCCCTTTTCATTCTCAAAAGGCGTGCCTTTTCATATAGTTTGATTTCCTAGATGTCTCGCCCTCTTCCCTCGAGAGCGTTTTCCAGTGAAACCCTGGTCGCTGGGGTCAACATGGTGGAGACCGGTCTTGGAGTATCTCAACCAGACGAGACCCTTAAGATCATGGCTGAACTTCAAGAGTTAGAGGTGCCATCATGATTTATATGTTTCCTTTGTCCAACTGTTGTTTCATTTTCAAAATTCTTCGACAAACTTGAACATACAAAGTATGTTTGTGACCCGACAGGAGTTGAAAGCATCCATGAAGAGTGGCGTTGCAGATGTGGCGACACCAGTGAGGAGCCTACCAGCTCATGATCAAGTACCAGAAGGATTCGCAGCCCCAGGGGAGGATACCATCCCGGCTGATCTTCCGGAGCCAGTTGTGGAGGATACCATCCGGGCTGATCTTCCGGAGCCAGTTGTGGAGACTAAGGTGGTGGAACCTTCAGGGGTTGATTCACCCATGGGGCCCTCCGAAGTGTCAGTGGACACACCAATGGTAGTCTCAGAAAGGCCATCTGATCCACCAAAGGAAGTCGTGGAAGGTGCTGGGGATAATGGGCTGTCTTCACCCTCTTCCGTTCCTTGCAGCATCACCATCATTTTTTTAGTTATTAGCTTATATTAGAAATATAATATATCTATATATATATATTCTGTGCTTCTTGTTATCCTCGTGGTGGTGTTTCGTGGTTTATGTTTGGGTGGCTTAAGACATCAACCTCACCATTTTCATCATTTACGCATTGGTTGCACCACAGAGTGTCTGATATCAAATGTTGGAAATTGCCTATGATACTGCCCTCTTTCAAAAATATGAGAGCTGTAACATATGATCCTGTCAACCTATCCCCGTCATTAGTAGCCTTGCCGATGGATCCCAGTGTCCTTGATCTCCAGTCTCCAGCGGACGCTCCATGAGGCTCCAGGTTCTGCTGAAGTTCACGTTCAAAATCCTCAGGAGCAGGCTGAGCCGGATGACACTTGGACACAATGATAAACAGGGGCGTGCCATTATGTAGTTTTACCCAGGTGGTTTGTTTCTCTTTTATATGATCCAACCAACACACGACATGCGTGAAATAAGATTTTTTCACTGTTCTAGTCGACCCATTGTACTGACATTTCCTTTGACAACAACTTTACACCATGAGGGTTATAGACCTGGAAAGTCTCTTGATGGGGTTCTGACTTATACATGGGAATATCTCAAAATAGGGGGCCAATGGGATCCGAAACTTTTTATTGTAATTGTCACATATCCACTTTTTGGGATACAGAATTTTGAGACATTCCCATATGCTTTCATCCAGCCAACGGGTTGCTAAGGAACAGAATCTTGATATTGCACCGGATGACCCCTACTTTGGAGCATCGACTGACCCCTACTTTGGGTATGAAGCTACTGATCTTGATGTTGATGAGGACATCAGTTGCAATCGATAATCATTTTTTGAACAACAAAAAATCACGTTGATTATGCATTGATTCCGTCGTTGGATTTGCTACTCAGAACACTTATAAATTTAATTTTCCTTCTACTCGACACTGAGCTCTCCGCCTTGCATGGGGCAGGACGAACCTATGTCATCAGCTGACCTTTTCGCCAAGTTCCAGTTATATGACTTGGAGGCAGTGACCCATTGTCTGGACAAAGTTCCTCAGGACCTCGCCTTCTCAAACTTATATATATAATAATAATAATAATCATAATAATAATAACAATAATAACAATAATAATAATAATATTTATATTAAGGTTATAGATATGGCCTCATTAAATGGTATTATTGCTGGTAGCCCATGGTGAAGCCAAAAAGAGTTTGATGTTCCTGAAAGCATGTTAGTCTTTCTTTCAGGAGTCCGGATCCCCTAGTGGCACTGAGCCTGAGAATGCAAAGGTTTCCGGATCCCCTACTGGCACTGAGCCTGAGAATGCAAAGGTTTCCAGATCCCCTAGTGGCACTGAGCCTGTGAATGCAAAGGTTTCCGATGTTGTCCAATCAGACCAGTGTTCGGCACCAGTGCCTTTACTTTGAACATCTAGCATGTTAATAGTCACTACTCTTGCATGCCAGCCCAACCAATGTCCATCCTATGCCTTGGTATGCAATAAGGTACCTCGCAAAGGCGAAGCCAACGAAGTCAAGGCACTTCGTCGATTGCTGGCCCCTCGCTGCGATGGCACGTTGCTGGTTCCTGAGGAGGTTGTGAAAGATTGGAAGGATGTCCATGGTGGAGGGCGGGAACGTGTTCTACACCTGTGGGAGCAATCCTCTTTCAACAAGGTTGGACATCAATGTTTCTCTTGTTATTCAGTCATGCTGCAGCCGACTTCCAAACATGGGATTCATGGGTAACCGATCCACATTTTTTGGTCTAGGAACAGTTTGTGAAGCGCTGCAAGCGCAGAGTGGAAAGCATCAACGAACAAGATCTTTGGGTAGATGGCCAGTTCTTGAGTGAGACGGATATGGAGGAAGAGAAGTTCACTGCGTGCTTCTTCTGCAACTACAAATTTCAACAACATACGTTTTCAAAAACTAACTGAACAAAGTTTGTTGAGCCATCCCTAATTGGTCCTGACACCTTTTCTTTCGCTGAGGGCGCGGATCAAGGCTATCAAGGAGATGTGTGGAAAGACGAAGGGATGGATGCGGTGCCTGGGTTTTAAATCTATATCCTAGATGTAGTTGTCACAAATAGCGCTCAGGAGCCACAGATACTGTCATTAGCATTTGATGTGTTAATTTTCAGATCTACATAATACACACATATAATATGTTTAACGCATATATGCACATGCACATGTTTAACACACACACATATATATATATATAATATGCACATGTTTAACGCATATATATATGTCCCTTGAACCCCCTGACTAACACATGCTAATAAGTTTCTGCGTTCATTTGCTTTCAGGCGCGACAAGTACGAGCCCCACATCAAGCTCTACTGGGTGGAGAAGAACCTTGCTGGACGAATGTTGATGCTTGCACGCATTGGCTCTGATTCTCAGTGTTGTTCGGAATCTTTGGGACTAAAAAGTTTCCTTTGGAAATCAACATCCGGAACACTCAGGAAAAGGAAAAGGGAAACCCTTGAAGATGAAGAGGACTTATCGGAGGAGGATTACCAGGAAGCCAAGAAGAATGATTCTATCATGCCCCAAGCGCTCGAACTTCCTGAGGATGACACAGGCTTGTTTGTAATATACAGCCCTTTACAATAATCAGCAACCATTATTGAATTAATACTCGCATATAGTGCATGATCAACAATCAACAGTTCATTGTGCTGACCCTTTCCGTTACTTGGTCGGTCTACACCTGTATGGCCAGACCCTACGATTGTGGTAAATGCGGAGGGTGAGGAGGGCAACAAAAAGACCTTGAAGGCAATCACTTGGCCATTGATGGACGAGGATGCGTTGCTTAGCACCTACGTCACCAAGGTGCTTACCTGCTTAAGCAAATGGCGGGTTAAGATGCAGGGCTTGATCGAAGTGTTCTCGCTTGAGAAAGAGGAATCGCAAAATCTCATGCAGAACCTTTGCATAAATGCAAACCTATCAACTTTCTCACAACGTTGGAAAGCCATACCTGTTCGCTAAGTTGTCCTGTGATTCTGGAACACCATCCCGCCTGTGGACATATAATTTCCTCCCGCCCGCTTAGGATTTGCAAACGTTGTGCTGAGATTGACGAAGAGCTGGCCAAGATTTCACAGAACATATCTGATGTGAATACCAAGGGCATCATTGGTGGATTCACTTCTGAGTGCCTGCCTTGGGTACCCCTCATGACATGATATTGTTTCCACACACAGAACACAAGAGGAAATAGCACATGCATATATCCATATAAAAGCAACTTTATATAAACTTTATCCGAGGGCTTCTGGCAGTGGTGCCGGTCACATGGCATGTGCCCATGTTACTTCAGGAGCCAAGATGATCTGGATGACTATTACACATGTGGACAGACTCAGTGCCCTGGTTTTGCGGGTGGGGGTAGCGAGCTGGTCTGTGCACGCATATGGGTGTCACGATTTTTTCTATTCATTCCATAAATATGGACACCCAATCAAAATGGCTGGCAAGTCTACAAGTCGAATTATATTTTGACATCAACATGTGCAAACAGCGTATGTGGTAAGGAGTGCCTTCAGCTCCTTTTGGCTCGGGGGCTGCCCTTCTCTTTTATTTATACCAATGAAGCAAGATCAAAGGTGTGTTTCTGCTAAGTTTTTTGAATATATATATATATATAGATAGATAGATAGATCGATAGATAGATAGATAGATGGATTGATAGATGGATGGATAGATAGATAGACAGACAGATAGATAGATATGGATGTTTCTGAGTTGGAAACCAATTCACACATATAGATAGGTAGGTAGATAGAAAGAAAGAAAGATAGATAGATTAGATGACTAGATTAGATTAGATTAGATGAGATGAGATTAGATTAGAAAGGCAGATAGATAGAAAGATGGTAGACAGATGGATGGATGGATAGATAGATAGATAGATCGATAGATCGATCGATAGATAGATAGATAGATATGATAGATAGATATGATAGATAGATATGATAGACAGAAAAAAAGATGGATAGATATGATAGATAGATATGATAGATTGATAAATAGATGGACAGATAGATAGATAGATAGATAGAAAGATAGATAGATAGAAAGACAGATTGATAGATTGATAGATTGATAGATATAGATAAAGATATAGGTATAGATATAGATAGACAGATAGGTAGATATAGATAGATAGGTAGATATAGTTAAACAGTTTACTTAGCAAGATCGGCTGTGCCATGGACGATTTTTTCTTTGATCTCCTGACCTACACATGTCCACTCACCGGCAACAAACGCTGTGCGGTGGATCGCCCGTTGTTCGACAATGAAGAGTGGCCACAAAAAAAGACGCTTGATACTTTTAAGTACAGTAATTTGTGGCTGTTCTGGGGTTCTGCTTATGTTTGTGGTTGATGGTTTGCACTTTGGGCTAACCACTGGCTGGTATGTAGTGTTAAATTTCTGTTGGTTTACAAACGCATATACCCAAAGCGTTTCTTTCACAGATGGTTGGGGCACCCAATCTTAAAACCATATGATTTGTTTCTGGGAGTGCCAGCTAGGATTAAAGTTATCCCTTTGGCCAAGAGTCCAGCTTTGCCCAATGAAGAGCTCACCGAGCGGATTGTCCGTCCAGAAGGTCTTCCTTGCAAAGGGAACTCTGCTGGTCAGATGATGGCCCCCCAGGCAGTTTATGTCCTTTTCAAACATCAGAGCAAAATTATATTGATTCAATATGTTTTGTTTGGTTACCACATTTTCCTATAGACATGATTTGTGTGAAATATGGGTTCTTCCGCATATATATATATATATATGTATGGTTAAGATTTCCATTCTCAAGGGGCCACACAATTGGAGGTGGCTGAGATGTTGACTACAATCATCCAGAACCATAGTGGCGATGACCCCCCTTGGGAACAGTTGAAGGCCTGTGGAATTCAAAATCACATACCGAAGTTCTCATTGCAAAATGCAATTGCGGGAAAGGTACTTTTGCACGCCAAGCGGCAAATAGATGCCTTCCGGGAACACATGGGTGTGTCACTTTGTGTGTTCAAGATTGGCGTGACAGCCAATCCAGCTGAAAGATTTTTAAGCTATTCCATCAAACATTTCACTGAAATGTGGGTAGTTTACAGTGGCTCTGATTTAGGGATGATTCACATGCTGGAAGCGGCTTTGATCCTACATTACCAAGAAGCATCTGGCTGCAGGAATGCAGCGCACTCTGGCGGAGAAGGGGGCCTCAATAGAAAGTTCCATTTGGGCCCTCCATATTTCGTATATGTGACAGGGGGCAGAGCTGACCAATTTAAACGGGTGGGTTGACTCCATGAAATTCGGGGCCCAGCTCATAGAAATTCATTTGTCTTAGGCCACAAGTTGGAGCTGCCAACTTTCCAGTAGTCGTCTGTGCTGGAACAAAAAATGAGCCCGAATGAGGTGAAGTGCTGAACCCAGAACTTGCACCATTTGAATGAAATATCACATGATTGCATTTCATTTTGGCTGGATCATCCCCAACTAGATGGTCTGGTGTTAGGAGCACATCTTTGGGATGGTAGCCCCTGCTATCCTATGATCTTTACAACCCTGCCATTTTGTTTATCTTCCTGTTCTCAAACCTTGTAGCCTTAATTCCCTTGCACCATACCACCTTGACCTGGCCTGTGCGGATCTTAGGTGTGCAGAAGCGCTCAGCCTCTCCTCGCGCTCTCAGCCACTTGTTGAAAGGAGATTGGCTGTTGAGCTTCAACTTAAGGATATCAGGTATACAACTGGGATTTTCGATTTAAAACAATTGGGGCCTGCTTTTAGGTTTCAATCATGATGCTGAAATTTTAAATTCAGCAAATGATATGTTTCCTGAGGCCGTTTGTGTCTCACATCAAGAGCAAGATCCGGAAGCAGCAGCAGGAAATCGAGAAAGAGGAGAACCCACGGACACCTGTCCCCAAAAAGGGGGCTGTGAAGGTCGAACCCAAAAACCAAGCGACGCTAGTGGATGTGGGTTTCCCTAATGGCATTTGCTGGCCTTTTTGTGTGAAGCTAGTGGCATGACTTGGCCGGTTTCAAAAATGAAACAATCATGACCGTATAGTTGGAATATTGCGCACTATGCCCATCATTGACATCTTTGGGAATTGAGCTATACACCCATCTAAGTTCATGTTTGTTGCCATTCATTTCTGGGTGGGCCTGTCAAGCTTGCGTCCTGGCATGGGACAAAGCATGGTTTACGGAACCTGTGCTTGCTGGGTGATGAACATCCAGTAAATCTTTGCAGCGCGTTACAAGTTTGAAGTGGGGGATATCACTTAGACAAGTTGACAACTCTTGCAGCGTCTCTTGCATCGCTGAAGTGGCAGAGAAAAAAAATGTGCAGCCAAGTCCTTTGGGCTGGTGAGCTGGGGCATCTCTAACTTGTAGTTTCTTTAAACAAGTGGTCCCTCCATGCCAGGTTCTTCGGATGTGACTGCAGGGCCTTTGTTGACCTACGTGGTTGAAACCATCGCTGACGGCGACTCTCAGCGAAACTAGCCATGATCAAATAGTGACCAAGGAGGAACCATGACATTGTATAAGTATGACATTGTATAAGCATAAGTATATGAGCTATGGCAGGGGAAAAAACGTGAGAAAACACCTCATCAAGATGATGTCTCAATTTGTTTATCCCAGGCCCATCCTGCCCATGGCATTCTGACCAGGCTCCTGCGAAGAAAATGGCTCAACAAGGCCAAGCCCTGCGAGCAGAGCTACAATGTGCGCCGGGAGTGGTGTTACACAGCTCAACCCAGAGTGTTGTGAAGGGTAGTCTCAAAAATGCTTCCCGGCAATACAAGCGGGCCGTGAGGCGTTTTAATATGGCTTTGAACCTCAGCTGATCACACATTCCATTAAAATTGTCTATATAGTTTTATGCTCCAGTTGTCAAAGCACTGTGTGTGTGTTGTTCCCCACCTGCCAGGTGAGGGTTGTTAGATTTTATCAGAGCTGTTCTCCTCCTCCTCCTCCTCCGCCTCCTCCGCCTCCTCTGCCTCCTCCGCCTCCTCACCCGCCGCCTCCTCCTCGCAGTCCAGATCCCAGTGGGCACGGGCACTGCCGGACCTCAACCGCGAGTTGCACATCACAGTGGGCAGGACCTCAACCGCGACTTCCCGCGACTTCCAGATCGCAGTGGGCACTGCCGGACCTCAACCGCGACTTCCAGATCGCAGTGGGCACTGCCGGACCTCAAGGGGAAGAATGTGAGAAAAGATGTCAGATAGAATGTCAGAAGATATGCCAGATAGAATGCCAGAAAGAATGTCAGAAAGAATGTCAGAAGATATGCCAGACAGAATGTCAGAAGATATGCCAGAAATAATGTCAGAAGATATGTCAGATAGAATGTCAGAAGATATGCCAGATAGAATGCCAGAAAAAATGTCAGAAGATATGCCAGATAGAATGTCAGAAAGAATGTCAGAAGATATGCCAGAAAGAATGTCATAAGATATGCCAGAAAGAATGTTCTGAATGCCACAAGATATGCCAGAAAGAATATCAGAATATATGCCAGATAGAGTGCCAGAAAGAATGTCAGAAGATATGCCAGATAGAATGTCAGAAAGAATGTCAGAAGATATGTCAGATAGAATGTCAGAAGATATGCCAAATAGAATGCCAGATAAAATATCAGATAGACTGCCACAAGATATGCCAGATAGAATCCCAGAAGATTTGCCAGAGAATATGCCACAGATAGAATGCCAGATAGAATGCCAGAAGATATGCCAGATAGAATGCCAGAAGACATGCCAGAAGATATACCAGAATATACGCCAGAAGATATGCCAGATAGAATGCCGGATCGAATGCCAGAAGTTATGTCAGATAGAATGCCAGAAGATTTGCCAGTAACAAATCGATAAATGTCATGCTGGGGATCATTCGAAGTAAAGTAATTTTTCGGTTTTGATCAAGGACTGTTGCAGGTTAACCATTGTATAGTATTTGTTTGTCAGGAAAATTTCCCCATCGTTCCACTACTTCGACCAGAATCAGACCAACGTGCTGCTTCCCTACCACAAGCCAACTGCAGTATTGAAGCATTTGCTGTCGACTGAGCCCTGGATTCTCTTAGGAGGGTTGAAGCCAGGATGTCAAGCTCAACAACTGTTGCAAACGTTTTGGGATGCTTACAAGTTGGAACACCCTTCGCATGAGATTTTTGGAACACCTGGGATTGACTTCAAGTTTACCATACCATTGCTGTTGCATGGTGATGGTGCCCGTACATTGAAGAAGCAGCCGCTGGAGGTTATCAGCATTCATCCAGTAATTGGGTTGGACACCATGGAAAGAGCTGCAAAATGCCCTTGCCAGAATTCAACTGTTTATTCTGGGGTTGACCTCTCAGATCCATGCTGTCTACGGTTGAATTCCAAGCACAACTCGTACCTTACCCATTTCTTACTGTGTGCTTTCCCCAGCAAGAAGTACAAGAAGCTCCCTGGCCTGCTCAAGGCTATGCTCGAAGCCATTTCTCAGGACCTTGCTGCAGTTTGCTCTGCGGGTTTGATTCATGACGGCAATGTGTACAAGTTCGCTGTTTTGGGCATGAAAGGAGATATGGAATACCACTCCAAAACTGGACTCCTCAATCGGTCATACATGAATGTTGGTCATGTCAACATGATCAAGGTATGCCACGAATGTCACGGTGGTGATAGTGCATATCCGTTTGAGGACTTCAGGTCAACAGCTGCATGGAAAAACACCTTATACATTGATGCCCCATGGGACGCACCTCCTCCCTTCCGACACTTGTCTTTTGAACCATGGATGTCAGGGAATGCAGCCCGTTTTTTCAAGCGAGATCCTCTGCACATCTTTCGCTTGGGGGTGGCTAGGAATCTGTGTGGGTCAGCAGTGGTGTTGCTTTGCCTCAAAGGTTTCTTCGACGATGCTGACGACAGTGTTGCCATTGACAACAGACTTTCAAGAGCCTGGTCCCATTTCTCACTCTGGTGTGATACACATAGTGTGTCTCCTGCTAGCATGAGAGGGTTCACCAAGGAAAAGCTACACTACAAGACCTCAAATAGCTTTCCGTGGGTTGGATGTAAGGGTGCAGACACCATCCTATTGTTGCGATGGTTGCGATGGTTCAGCTCTTTCCAGTTGGGCCTGAATCCCGGTTCAACTGTGCTCGGGGGTGTGGTGAAAGCTTGTCAAAATGGGCTCGACTTCCAAATCATCCATCGACATGGAATATTTTTGCGGCCCCATTGTAGGCTACAGGTCTTGCAAAGTTGCAGGAAGTTCTGTCATGCGTATGCAGAGCTTGCAAGTGTTTGCTATTCAGAAGGCCTCACTTTGTTCAGCATGGTGCCGAAGGCCCATGCGTTTGCTCATGTGGATCATAGTTTAGAAATGTCTAGGAGGGCAGGAGATCCTATTTCCTGTAACCCTGCTGTCTTTGACTGCTCAATGTCTGAAGATTTCGTGGGCCAAGTGGCCAGGCAATCCAGAAGAGTATCGTATAGAAACACCGTGGATAACACCTTGCTGGCGTACAGAGTAAAAGCCAAACTGGTGATTCAGCGCTTCAAGAAGCATAGAGGCTTGTGAACGCGAACGCTGAGTCGCCAAAATTGTTTGTGAACATCAGTATTTTTTGTCCTATCGAATTATATGCATACTTCGCTAACATGGCCTGAATTCCACTTGGGGTTTCTTTGTTTGCTTCACTGGTTTTCAGTTGAAAACTGTTGCCACGAGGATGTCCACCAGTTAGGGGGAAGTGATCTTCAAACTCTGAAGTCCAAAAGGGTGATTTGAGGCTCTGGCCCACCAGGTTCAGAGATCCGGCGGAGCGGGATGTAGCTATGAACACATGCTACATGTTTGGACGTGATGCAGTGGTGAACAAGTGAAACCATCAAAGCATATCAAAGGTAGATAATGGTATACATATATAAAGGGTTGCATCAACATTTTAACATCTTTGTGGGTAACCTCTCAGCTTGTTTTGGGTTTTACTGATCCATGTTTAAATGTCACTTGCCCATTTGAGCTGCTGAGCAAGCAAGAAGCTCTGGTGGCAATTCAACCGGAATTATTGGAGGGGTGATGACGCGTGGATTAGAGGGAAACAGGTGGTGAACTACAATAAGGGCCAACAGCATCAAATTCACACAGGGCAGTAGAGGCAATTTTTCAAATCAGAGGCGATTCTTGATATTAGAGGCTGAAATTTCTGCCTCTTGGATTAGAGGCTGAAAAAGGGAACACCTGGAAGATCCAGGTATATATATATATATTATACACACACACACACCATGTTACATCGCTTCAATCACAAATGCTCGATGGTTAAATCATGTAAAAAAAACATGTCCAACGATTCAATCCCAAGGGTTGGTGGCTCTTCAGCAACACGAACCATTATTCAATATGTTAATTTCCAATATACATGACATATTAATTTTACTATGATGTCTTTGTTTCCTTGCTTAGTGCGAATGTACTATGTTTGTTGATTAAATATGGTTAGATAATGCCATCAACAAATGGCCGGCCAGTCCCTCGAAACAACTCCATGACAAAGCCATAAACCCATCGCCTTGCCCGATTTCTGGAGCTCTGAACGCAGCGCAGAAATCAATGACAACCTGACAATCCACCATTGTGGATGGATAGCCAGTACCTAACGGTCCATCATTGTATCTGCATATGATTGTATATTGTGCTGATCACACAATCGAAATATGGGCACAACATTTAATTGCACATCTATATACATATGTATATATATAATTATATATATATGTACAGCATCATAATCACTTTTGGTTGCCACACCCTAAAAATACATTGATTGGTGAAGTGAACAATGATATACGAAGGTAGTGAGACTGTGATCATTTTTTGAAGATTTTGAAGAGTTACTGCCTTGGCTTAAGAGAACATCTATAGGAAACCACGGTTTTTCTGATAGTTAAACGGGCTGTCACTGATCAATCGGCGACTTCCCTACAGTCTCAAGTGGACTTAATGACTTAGTTTCCCTTGATCTGGCTGTTCCCGCAGACTTCGACGATCCAGATCCATCATTCCGATCATGGAATCATGGTTCTTCAACTAGGAACCCATGTTGAAAGCCCAATTTCTCAATCAAGCAATGTCTAATGTCAAATTTGGCAAGTATTCTTGATGTGTCTTGGTCTTATTTGCTTTGAGTTGTGGTTTTTATTCTTATACCCATCTCTGTCGTCCATACCCTGCCCAGCGGGAAACAACGTCAAACGCCAGGAGACTCGCGTTGACGTTCGAGTTGCAAAGACCTTGGCTGAAACTGAGTTCCAGCTGGATGAACTACTCCCCAACAAAAAATCTGGGGATGTGGAAACAGCCAAAAAATACTTCAAAATCAATGGATTGATCTATCCAAGAAGTAATCATTGGCATAGCCGAAGCCAGTTGGATCCCCAGAAGCTGTCATTCCAGCCTGGTGAACCTGTTTTTCTTCCAAATGGACCTAAGACACAGAGGTTTTCCAGTGAAAATGAGATCAAAATCATCCAACATCATCCAACGTTGCCAGGCTAAGCAGTAGTTTTCAGCTGAACTTGCTGAATCGAAACCACTCATCCAGACTACACCAATTCCCAAACAACAAGATGAATACGTGTTGGCTATATGTACCATCAAGTGTAAATTATTGACGCTTGTTTCCCTTTCATATACATAATCATTAGGTCATATCTTTAAGCATACATATATATATATATATATTTATGTATATGTAAGTAGATACATATTCTACCAAGTACTGAAAGATAAGCAACATGAATGCACACCATTGGAATGATTCTCCCCACATCTTTGGGCCATCCCCCGTGTGAGGAAGGCCGAGCGACGCGGCTTCCTGCGTCATCTCTCGGCCCAGGCGATGGAGATGAGAGCTGCAGACCTGGCAGAAAATTGTATCCCACTCTGACCCCCATTGGAAATATATATATATATATATATATATATTTACCATATATATATAATTTACAATATATAATACATATATATATATATCCATATATATAATATATATATATATACATATATATATATATATGTTCTCAAGAATACATCCATATACATACCCCTAAAAAGAGATGTTTGTTTTCACTTGGCAGTGCGCAAACCAAACAAATTTCAGTTCATTCTTCAGTAAAAACAATTTCCCGTGAATAAATCCCATATTTTTATTCCAATCATTTTCAATGACATCCCATATGTTCAATCCGTTCAATCCCAAACAAAATCCGATCATTTGTTTCGGAATCATTTTATGCCATCTCCGTCCTTCTTTGGCTAGTGAACTCCCCATCTTTTGCATCCGTTCCAGGATTTTGCAAATCAGTTTGCCATACCCCCCCTATTTTTCCATCACTTTCCCACATTTTCCCACGGTTTTGCTGCCGTCCCATCCACCTCCAAGGCGCGCAGCTCCGCGGCTGTCTTCGCCTGCAAGGCTCCAAGGGCCAAGGCCTGGAGCGGCCAAGGCGTGGACGTCTGCGTGGAGTCTGCGGGGGTTTCAGGGAAAATGATGGGAAAATGATTTATATCAACCATTATTAACCATTATTAACCATATTTAACCATATTTAACCATCCTTTTTCCAGTTTACCCATATGCTATATGGGAATTATATGGGATATTATGGGCTAGTTAGCTAGGTATATGGGATAATATGGCAGATTGGGATAGTTAGATGGATTAATATGGGATAGTTATAGTTATATCATGTTATAATATGTTATATATTAGGGACGGATACCTATGGAAACAAAAACATAGGATACTATGGGATAGTTATATGATATGCTCGTCTTTTATTGGTTGATATGAAGAACAATTAGTCCTGGGGCGTAGCTCGGTTTGTCAAAGACACCATACTTAGGTTGCGAGGTTGGAACACCCAGTTGATTGCATGATGTACCAAATCCTTTCCGCGGCTCATATAGTAGAACTACCGTAGTACAACCCCCAGAAGTTGGGATATAATCGCTATAACATCCTATAAGTATATGCTTATCTATCCAAGTGTGACTGGAACTGCACCCCAACTGGGGATTTATCTCAGGGTTCAACTTAAACAAATGTGGTTCAACAATATCAAACAATGGGAATCTCACTCTCTCTCTCTCTCTTCTTATCAGCAAAATCTAAGTCAATGGACCGATGTAGGGAACACAAACAACGGAAATGTAGGGACATCTCTGAAGTGGTGTGATGATAATTGAGACGTTCAAACAGGTGGATTTATCCATCACATAAAGTTTTTTATATAAATCTATAATATATGCAACTGAATCGACTATATCCTGAGTATGACACAGTGTTTGGGTTGGTCCTTAGAGTCTAAGCAACCATTGAGGCCGAGATAAACATCCATGAAAGCCCCCTAGCACTCATTCTACCTGCCAAGGGATGCTGAGGGCATCTGACCTATGTGTTGTTGGGGAACTGATGGCATGAAAACCAGCATACTCATTGCCCAAAGCGAATAGCAAGCCATGTTTCATGGTGAATTAGCATGAATATAGAGTATGAATATAGAGTATGGCTCACCTTTGATAGTTCAACTTCTATGATCTTTGACCAACCATTAATTACCCTCTGCTAATTTAACATAGCTATTGAACATGGCCAGTTATTCTGGATTTTCCCATTAAAAATGGTGGATCTTTCCATAGTTATGTAAACGTTTACCAAAGGGTAACATCTTTGATCATCGATGGGTCTTCTGATTGCCGTGTCCCAGGTCTTCTCCGGCCTCTTCTGCACGCTTCCTCTGAAGATTGGCCTCACGTCTTAAGGAGACCGAAAATCGATACCACAGCCACCAAATGAGATTCAACTCACTTTCATGTCAAAAAAAAACAGTCTACATCAATCCATGTTTGAACAGCTTAATTTACATGATCTGTTTTTAACATGTGAACAAATATCTCAACGTTTGGTGACACGACAACACGACAATGCCATGCCATGGGGATTTCACCACCCGGGAGACCCACCAGCTATGATACCCCATAGAGTTTTATTTTATGTTTCTTTCAGTTCATACCCAATGTATATATATATATATATATAATTACACATATATACTTATATAATTATACCAATAATAATATTACGGCTGCAATTTACGTTATTCTGGGCTTGGGCAACACAAGGTGTCTGTGGGTAATATTATATGTATATATAAACTCTACATATAGATAGTCTTATGGGTAAGTTGTACCATTGCCCGAAAATGGGCATGAAGTACAATACAATTTTGGACCCTAAGTCTGGGGTGATTCAGGCCAAACAACACCACTTAATCTCCCTTCACCAATATCATTTGTTCCCAGACTCAAACAAATCCCTCAAAGGGAAAATAACTTAAAATATCTTAAAATGACAGGCTTTCAGCTTTCACCGCTTTCACCTACTATGGTTGCCTGACTGGTTGAACCCAAATTCTTGATGGCAAACATCCAGTTTTAATTGTTGACATCCCTTTAAAATCTTCATGTTTGATGGTTGTCAAATCCCTGTGTTTGTTCCTTATTATTTCCAGGCTTTGTTCGTGAAGTCAGGTTTTTTAATTGAACCATATTGATTAAACCCTGATTTGTGATGGTTAAATATGGTTAAATAACTCAAACATCCCCAACATATGGGTAAACACATGGGACGAATGTGTGGTCATCCTTCCCATTCCATGGGAATCCAAATATCATGGGTATGAAAATCTTACGTCACCATTAAATCACAAACAAAAAACCATTAAATCACAATAAAATGACCATTAAACCTTGCTGTAATCTTTAACCATGGCAGTGGAGATCGCCTCCCAATCGCGCCTGATCTTCCGTGTCTTGTCGTCGTAGGTCTTGCAGCTCTTCCTCCTGACCTCAGATCCGTGGAGATCACTGACAGCATTTTTCATGGATGGCTTGCAAAAGCAGGGCAGCCGAAAAAAACAAAGAAACACACAATCCATCACAATCCAACAAACAAGGATACATCGAGAATGAGTAATCGGAACATGACAAGTATTGCCGTCTTACATCGTGATGATGATGATGGTGGTGGTGGTGGTGATGGAACAGATCATGCTGTTGTTGGTGATCATGGCGGCTGTGGTGATGATCGTGATGGTGGTGATGAGGTTGCAAAGAAGCTGCTAGGCCTTTTCATGCAAAATGTGCATCTCGCAATGAGCTGCTGCCAGGTCAACTCCAACATCTGAGAGTCCATAAAGCCACTAGCAAGGGATTAAGGTTTTGACAGTATTGACATTATTTTCATATGTGTTCTATTTCACCATTGTTGTTGTAGAGAGTCATCAGTCAATTGTCAATACTATCGTTATCATTACTGAATCATTACTATCATTATCCTTTGCGCGTATTCGCCCATGATGCAACACTGACCAGTGAAGCTTCGTAAATGCCAAGCATTGAGACAGTGACAGTGCAGGTGGTGACTGTTACAGGCTGGGGGGGATCTCCAAAAGAAACAAAGGCAACCTTGGACAGCCCACGAAGTCAGTCTCTGGTTGATATTATATATTTGTTTTCTCTTGGTGTGTCAAAATTGGGTATCCCCCAAAAAATGCAATGTGAGTGAGTGATGCGGAAAATTATGATTCACCAGTGGTCCTTTTTTGTCAATAGCGGGATTAACCAAATCATTTGTGACATATTAATTAATACGATATCGCCACACATAATAATCATAATTCCCATCTTCAAGGTATGTTGTTTTTCTTGGTTGGAGCAAACCTTTGGCCTACTACCAAACAAGCCAAGGATGAGCGGCTGATAAATGCTATGTATGATATTGCGTAACTGGCAGCATCTCATCCCGGAAAAGAAGAATGTGACAAATCATTCCGGAAAACCAGTGCTTTCAGGAAAGCTGTTGGCATGGTTTGCCAGGTTCGACGAAATTTGCACCGGAGCTTGGCGCTGTCATTCTGGAAAAGTATCATAATGTCTGATAGTTCCTCATGTTGATGTTGATCCATCATAAGTGGTGAGATTATGTGAGGTCCACTCTGATTCAACATAACCACAGAAAATGGAAACTTTGTCTATATATTATTATCTCAATGACCACTGACACATCTACCTCTACTAGATATCAATGGCAGTTTCTGTTCCATCAGCGCCCGCGGAGGAATTTGGCTGCAGTGATGCCTTAAGCAGCACAGCAGAGTGCAAGCATCGACGACGTTGTTTTGGTATAAAGTTCCAGGCCCAACGAGCCACAAACGTGGGTCATGTCGTATAATTATTATGGGATATTGTGGCAAGTCCGAAACACTCTACAGGGAACCGACAATGTCACGCCTAAGTCATGCCTAGCATGTTTTTGAATGGCATTTACCATTGTAAACGCTGTATCCAAGAAGTCATGCCTAAGTCATGCCTAAATGCGTTTCTGCATGGAACGCTGTCCTCAATAAAAGTGTAACCATGCATTTTAGACATGAAAAACAAATGAAACACAATGGAACGCGATTGATGAAAATATTGATTCTCTACTCTCTTATAATGTCATTCTCGTGTGCAACCTGCATGTCAACGCTGGGATTCTGCATCATTCTTTTTCTATTCTCTGGGTCACTTCCCAGTACTACTTTGTACTACAAAGCTTGCAAAAGGCACTTCCCAGTACTACTTTGTACTACAAAGCTTGCACAAACTACTTCCCAGTACTACTTTGTACTACAAAGCTTGCACAAAGTCCTTCCCAGTACTACTTTGTACTACATAGCTTGCACAAAGTCCTTCCCAGTACTACTTTGTACTACAAAGCTTGCACAAACTACTTCCCAGTACTACTATGTACTACAAAGCTTGCACAAAGTCCTTCCCAGTACTACTTTGTACTACAAAGCTTGCACAAAGCACTTCCCAGTACTACTTTGCACTACAAGGCGTGCAAAAACTACTTCCCGGCACTACTTTGTACTACAAAGCTTGCACAACTACTTCCCAGTACTACTTTGTACTACATAGCTTGCACAAAGCACTTCCCAGTACTACTTTGTACTACATAGCTTGCACAAAGTCCTTCCCAGTACTACTTTGTACTACAAAGCTTGCACAAAGCACTTCCCAGTACTACTTTGTACTACAAAGCTTGCACAAAGCACTTCCCAGCACTACTTTGTACTACAAAGCTTGCACAAAACACGTTCCAGTACTACCTTATACTACAAAGCTTGCACAAAGGACTTCCCAGTACTACTTTGTACTACAAAGCTTGCACAAAGTACTTCCCAGCACTACTTTTTACTACAAAGCTTGCACAAAGTCGTTCCCAGTACTACTTTGTACTACAAAGCTTGCACAAAGCACTTCCCAGAACTACTTTGTACCAGAACGCTTGCACAAAGCACTTCCCAGTACTACTTTGTACTACAGAGACGAGACACGTGGGCGCAGCAAAACGAGCATTTCGTGCGAGACTTCCTCCAATTTTGACACTTTCGACACGTTATCAAACAGGTTGGAATGTGACAAAATGCCATGCAAAACGACATGACAACCTGCTTGGAAACCTTCGAAAAGGAGAGGTTTTGCAGCTTCCCCCATAGACACGGAAGTCACGACGCGACGACGACGCGACGCCGACCCGACGACGACACGACGCCGACCCGACGACGACGCGACGAGCCACTCGAGGCGAACAAGGGTCCAGCCCCCAGACCCCCAGACTATAAACGGGAACCCTTCGCTACGCATTCGGGAAAAACAGGATAATCTGGGATGAACATCCAAAATCATCAAATCACCAGCTCAACGCCATCTTACCTATAACTAATCAACATACCCACAACCTGGAATTCTGCATGCTAATAGTGATCAGCTACGTGATCTCATAAGAAAACGGGTCCAGAGTTCCTATGCGTTCTTGCTAAAGGCACGACTTTTGCGAAACACACTTCCCCAAGGCACAACGATTTTTTCCTAAAACTGGTACGACTTTGTCAGATGCCTGTAAATAAAAGCTATATGATTACATATGATTATGAGTATTTCACACTATGTTAGAGTAGGCTTTTGGTTTGTTCTATCTGTTGATTTTTTTTGGCCATGGAAACCGCAAATGAACTGGTATTTTTTATGGTTCAACCATTGAACAATTCAACTTGTTTATCACCCAACTTTACCTCATACCCAAATGTGCCATGGTCAGAACATCGTATACGGGCTATGGTCATCCCACCATTTTCGGGAATTCTTATACTGGCTGGGATAAGTTATTTTTCGTTGAAGCATGACTATCGCTGAAAAATAGCTCTTACCTTTGCACACATGACATCAATATGCATCAGTTAGGTTGAGCTCCTGTGTTCACAAGCACGTTGCTACCTTCTTAGCCATTCTTATTCTGGGTTGACTTGAGCAAGGGCCATTCACATCTCAGAATGAGAATAAACTGCGAACGTATTCAAGAAGCTAGTCACATCGACAATTGCTCACGTTGGGCTGTCGTGAAGCACGTTGATGCTTGCGATCCTTCATGATGTCCCACATCATGGCATCAAACACTATCTGCAGCGATTGTTGCGCGGTGTTCTGAGTCCTAGCTTTTGATCATGTCACCCAGTAGGCCGTTTGGCTAAGGTGCAGCTTAAACACCATGGTTCTCTAATGTTCTCTACGCAGAGCCAAGTTATCATCATGAGCACTCTGTGCAGCAATCGCAGATCGAACCTAAGACTGCCCCGCACAGTCACAGCATTGCGACTATCTAGCTACAAGGCCCTACCGTGGCCATGGGTGGAGTTTGAAGGAGTTCGACACGCTATGGTCTCTGAAACAAACAAAAGAGCCCATGAATGGTAAGCAAAGTGCATACAGAAATCATTTTCCAGCACCCCTTTCCAAATACTGGTCTCTTGAGACATTGCATGCTGAAGATGCAGCACATTCCCTTCATCCTTTCGACTTGAGAGGCTTGCAACTGATACAAACATATAAATTAATCGAAGGCAATCGTTATCATTCACAACTAGTGAAAGTAGCAAACTCTTGCAAGGAAACAATAGGAAACACTGCTTTCAACAAATTCACTTAATTATATAACATCACTGAACTAATATGGTTTAGACATCCGCCCGAAAGTGTTAGAGGGGTTTTGCTGTCTTCAATGCCATTGTGTACTGTATAGCTTTGCTACATAGTTGGCTGTTTGAATCTTCTGGAACAAAACTGCATTCTTTCACACTTCTGGACTACGGTCTCAAATAATTTTGATGACACATCTATGGAAACAAACACTACACGAAATTGCTAACGCCGTTTATATATAATATACATTTCAAGTTACACTGCCAGTGCAATGATGTGTCCTATGCTGTATCATTGATCCAGGGCAACAAAAACTCACATGGCATGGCCAAATGCCTTCAACTATGCAAAAAGAAACCAACTTTCAGCAGGTGAGTGCATTCCTCCATGGCCAAAAGTGCCAAATCAGCTCACAATTCAACTTTCTTCGGCTCAGAATCGTTCATTCCGAACTCAGAGGCCAGCATGCCTGGACACATGGCACCACAGCTCGACAGCCGTTGGCTATGGGCCTATGGGTTCTCAACATCTGTTTGGTGATTTTCATCAAATAATTCTTTACACCACCTAAAAATGCCTTCTCACATATGGGCACGGGTCAAAATTTCAGCCCCACAGAAAAAACGCAGATGAATTCGTAACTAGATGCAACTAGTATATGTTTCGGAGTCACCATCTAATTATTGGGGTACCCTCTGGTAAACGTTTACATAACTATATGGAAAGATCCAGCATGCTATTAATGGGAAAACTCACTATTTCAATGGTCATTTTCAATAGCTATTTTGACATAACCAGAGGGTTACTCTTTCTGTGCCCCAAGTCGACTTGACCACCATGACCCGGGCCACCAATCCCGCCTGCCCCGGCCACCACGGTGCCCGCGCCCGCCAGCGTCACCGCCGCCGCCATCAGCGCGGGAGCCGACACGGCGGTGCCCATGGCCGCCATGGCGGCAGTGCCCACGGCGGCGCCCATGTCCACGGCGCCGGCCACGAGGCCCATACCTTGGAACGGTCAGAATTTAAGGGGATATCATTGGATACTATGGATATATGGTTGTAGTTATAACTATTGGATAGTTATACCATATAGTCAATGGTTATAGTCAATATGTCAACTATGGTTTAACTATACCATTGACATATTGAGATATATTGACTATAACCATTGGATATCATTGGATACTATGTGAAAACCATGTTGATATGGTTAACATGGTTAACATGGTTGATATATGATCAATTGTGGTGAATAATGGGTAAATATAGTAATGGTTATGCTACTGCCTCGGGGATGGGGATCATTGGAGAATATGGACTGGAACCGGTGGGTCAAATGACTGACTAAATGGGCTATTAATGATTACCAACTACCAAGTTGGCCAAAGAATGGTTATTCTTCAACGGTTAAATGGTAATTGTCACAATGAACCCATTTCGAGATGTGTGTTCCAACATTGAAAACAATGTTGCAAAGCCAATAATAAACCATCAACAATATCATCGATAAAAAAATATGTTTCTCAGCGGGTTTAATTACCAAGGTTTTAGGTCTGTTGTTCATATACATTCTATGAATAATTTTATATATATTGGCTATATAATATTATATAATATTATATATATAGTCATATCGTTGCTCAATCGACGGCAAAATCACATAGCCACATCATTGTTGCTTGGTACACATTACATGACAGTATATCTCGCTGCGACCCTACTTTTGTCCACAATCGATCCCGTATATCCTTTGTCATGCTCAAACCTGAAACTCTGAAACCATAAATCCTGAAAGCATAAGAGCCAATATAGCTGCATATAGCCAGTGTTTTCGTTCATCCTCGAGTGACAAGTATTTGAGGCGGACGAACGTAGGGTTTGGCGCCAATACGTTTCATTGAGCCGTGTTCAAAGCCTTCTGTCGTCATACTGGTTGGTTGAGAACGGATTTCCCAGTTCATTGTATAACCCCACAATCATCATGTATCAATGATATTCCATATTTTTAAGACTTTAAGTAAATAATGGTTCAGTTCAATATGGTGAAATCACTAATCATCACCCATCATTTATATCCACTGATATCACCATATGTTGATGGTTACTGTAAAAACATGTTAAACACCTCATATTTTACCCCCCAAACTCATCATCCTCCGGGAAAAATCGTGAAACAGGCACCTAGAGCCGCATCAGCGGCCACCAACGCGCCGGCGCCCAACACGGTCTTCACCTGGTCCATCCCCAGGCAGGTGGGAGTGGCCTTTCCACTCAGATTCCACTGTGCCACACTGTGGATGCAGTTCTGCAACTATCCAACTACCCTCTGGTAATTTAACATAGCTATTGAAAATGACCATTTATAGCGAGTTTTCCCACTAAAAATGGTGATTTTCCATAGCTATGTTAAATTATCAGAGGGTATTCTATAGCCCAACTTTAAGGATATCCAACTACAAGTAGCAACAAGTAGCATGGCAAAGCGAACAAGCCGCCCTGTGAGTTACTGAGTTACGACAGTCATCCTATTGAGATATGCACATGTTCCTTTTACGTGGTTAAGAATATTGAGACCATTCATCCAGCTTACCCAGCGAGTGAAAAAACAAGTAGACCATTTACAATACGAACATATTTTAACCAAATTTGTTCATACCATCTTGTTACGTCAGGATTCTTCGGTCCGCAGCCTCATTTGTTTTCTCCAGAAGGTAATGTTAGATTGTTGACGGGGAATTCTGGAGATAACCTACGACAACATGCCACATATAATAGCAAGTCAAGTTTCCTTTGCCAAATTTTACGGTGTATCCATCCAGAATATATCTGAACGAATTGTCATACAACGGAACCATGAGCCATGAGCCATGCACACGCATTATTGGGATGATTCCCCCTACAAGCATCAGTGTCCTTTGCAGGATGATCTCAGGCTATACATGCAATACGTAGTGAAATTCCAATGGGAATAAAAAAGGATCCTAAAATGGAGGTGCTGTACCATATTTCTGGATCATCGTGGGTTCGACGTCCTCCTCGTGGGCGATCCAGCGGACGACCATCACTGAGTTACTGAAGTGACTGCGGTGGTCGGCAAAGGCGCAGGGGGTCAACATGTTTCACGCGACTTACCTGCCAGCAGCGCAATGTTTGCAATGTCACATCATAGCACTGTGCCACATGAACCCAACTCAAATGTTTTCTCCAATGGGGTAGGGGGTGCTGCGTCCCTATCCGACTTCAGCAGCATTCGTCACTTTCGTTCCAGTGGCCCAGTTCCCAGCAGTAGTAATACATTCCATGATGTTCTTCAAGGGAATCCTCATGAGACTAGTTATGTACAGAGCAACCGCAATCGCAAGAGGCGAGAGCGCCACCAAGCAAGGATGCAAAGGAAACAAGAGACGAACCGACACTTGAAACGTAGAATGATTTGGAACAGGATGCAGAGGGAAGAAAGGATTGCACGAGACCAGGCAGCGGACCAGAAACAGCTACCACATATTCAGGTGCCTGCCCAGCCGGGCTATGTTAGGATTGGCAATATTAATCTTGAAAAGAGCAACCCTGAGAAACTTGAACAGTTGGTGTGTCTTGCAGCACACCGGGGCTGGGAGGTAACACTAGTCTCCGAATGCTGTCCAACAGCCAGGGGTGCTCGACAGAATCCTCAGGTAAACTGTCGGCACTGGAAGTGGGAGGGATGGGAGTTGATCCACACAGGATCTGTAGGAATCCTACTCAACCCTGACTGGAGCCACGCATGGCATACACACCGTGCCCCTAAATACCGGTCACCCACCGGACGTGTGTTATCCCTTGTGTTACCCAGAGACCCGCTAAGCGATGCCGGGCAACGCCCTCCTTCATGGATTGTCATAGCAATTTGGGCTCCTGTCTCTACCTCGACGGTTGATGAACTTGACACGTTTTGGGATGAAATTGCATGTGCCACGCGCAGAGAATGTCAATTCAGACCGGAATCAAGGCTCACTGCCACACTTCATGAACACACCCCACATGTGCTTGGTGGGGACTTCAATGCCCAAGTGTTTGAAGATGTCCATGAAGCCGACGCAAGCCCACTCCTGGGGCGATACCGGCCACCATGCCGACACCAGTTGGATGAATATGCCTTTGATAAGATTTCGTCCCTTGATGACTGGGTCCATGCCGACAGTTTTCGGGCACCTCTGGGAAATCGACACAGATGCACATGGTATTCCTCCATTCACCGACAGTTTTATGAGATTGATTGGATTCTCCTGCCCAGAAGGCATTTATCCAGGTTGGTAAGCATGACCCTGCGACACACTCTTGAATTGCACACTCAACATTCCGCTAAAGAATATGTGTTCAGACTGGAGCAGACTCGCAGCCCACGACCTACCAGGCGGGTGGCTCGACCTGATCTCACGGCCTTGAGGGGCACATCTCTTGCAGCTCAGGAGGCCAGGGCCACACTGATCACTAAGATGCAGGAGGAATGTGCACGGACTGACCAAGCTGTGTCGTTGACCCAATTTCGTGAAATAGCTTCTAAACACACCCTAAATGTTTGTGGGGAAACTAAACGCTCTGGGCGAGCGCCATGGCTGCGATCCCAGGCAGCGCATGATGCTATTGCTCCCCTTAATAACCAATGTAGGCATCTTAGAAGTTGTAAACATGACATTCAGCGCCAGCTTAGTGATTCCCCCGATAATGCCCAATTGCTAATCCAATTAACTAATCTCCAAGATAGGCACCGAGAAGTAAAGAGACAGCAGAGACAAATGCAGCGCCAGTTCGAAAAAGAATACTGGGAAGGTAAGTTGGCCGAGCACCAACACCAAGCGGCCGACTCTTTCCAGTTTTTCCACAGTCTCAAAGAGCTGCAACACCGTGGTAAAACAAAAACAACAGCACGCCAAAATCCATTTTGTCCAGCCGAATGGAGGGACCACTTTGAGACCATCAGCGGGAAGCCAGAGTTCTTGACGGACGAAATTAAACAGTTTATTGACACTCTGCCTGTAAGTAACCTTGACCGGGCTCACTCCGCCCAACTTGATGATGACCTCTCCGATGAAGAAATCCGCCGTGCAGTTCGCAGCCTGCGAAGTGGTGCAGGTGGAGGCGATGGATTGCCACCCGTAGTAGTCAAAACTCTGTTTGCTGACCCGGCCCTAGCGAACCAAATTAGCAAGTTTGTCCGCGACCTTTGGAACACCCCGGCAGACCAATGGCAAAGTTCGCAAATGGATGGACCGGGACTTCAGGTCCCACTGTGGAAACAAAAAGAGCCGTTCACCTCCATGGACAAGTGGAGAGGGGTTGTCCTGTTATGGACATTGCCGCGCATTCTTGCAAAAATTGTAAACCACCGAGGTCAAGCCTGGTTCGAGAACACCAGCCTGCCCCTTCCATCCAGCTTTGGTTTCAGACGCGGCCTTGGCACCGACGATGCTTTATTCATGATCCGACGATTGGATGAAGAAATAGGTGCCTGGCAAAGTTTTGGTTGGAACACTGTTGTTTATGAGGCAGGACTCATGGACCTGAAAAAAGCTTATCCTACGGCTAATAAAGAACCATTCTGGTACCTACTTCAACACCATGGCATTGACCCTAGGGGCCCCTTCACTAATGCTTTAAGAGGATTCCACTGCTACCGTGAATATCAGATCAAGACAGGGCCAGACCTGTCGGCAGCATCCTTGAGTGCACCGTACAAACCTGTACGCGGTTTTGGTGAGGGTGATGGCACATCACCATGGGCCTGGAATATATTATACAGTGCTGTTGTTCGTTTTGCTAGCCAAAAAAGGAAAGAAAACGCTCAACGACGAGGTCTTGTATGTGGCATCCCTTGGCGATGGCAAGACAGCATGAATTTAGAGTCCAGCTGGACACGCAAGAACGATGACCGCCAATGTCACCGTGCTCTGGTTGAAACAACCATTTTCGCAGATGACACGACCTTACATGGTGACCGGCAGGAACTACATGTCGCTGATGCCCTCGGCCCCTCGGGCATGGACTGCTTTGCCAGCGCAGTTGCGCAATGGGGCTCTGAGGAACATGCTGGTAAGAGGGAACTCCACACATATGGTACTGAAACTGACACCTGCCTGGTAGGTGGAGGAATCTCCCCGCAGCAAGCCGTTCGTCGAAATATAGTTCGCGGTCAAAAATGTTGGTCGAAGATCCGACCTGCCTTAAAAAACACTAAATTGTCCCACAAATTAAGGGGTCGAATCTTAATGACCTTTATGTACAGTCCCCTGGCCTACTCATGTAAGAGCCGAGCCACCACTCAGCGTAATATGACTAAAATGCAATCGGTAATGAATACTGCCATCCGTTACGTTTGCCGAACCCGTCTATCTCGTATGCAAGAACAAGGTATCAACCATAATGATCTTCGTGCCAAACTAGGAATTCCCCCTCTTGCCGCCGCCATGGAACAGGAACAAATGCGCTGGCTCGGACACATCGCTCGAATGCAGTCCGACCAACCCAGGACCTATTCTAAGTTGTTTGCACGTGGAACCTTGGATGTAGGAGAGTTTCAACGGGTGGCATCAGCGGCGGGGGGGCGGATCTCGGCAGACCGCCGATCATTACCAGAGGTCTGGATCAACCTATGTCATCAGCATGGCTTTTGTGAAAGCGAAATTGAAAATAAAGCAGCTGATCGTAATGCGGTTTGGACCCCCCTTTTAAACCACAGACTTCGTCAAGCCATTTATGAAGACCAACTGCAATCCCATTCCCATCAGAATGTTAGCCCTGACCCAGGCCTCCGACCATGGTCACGTCCCCAGGGCCGGCGGCAACCGTCTCCTGAAGCCAAAGCGCGGAAAGTTGAACTCCAGCGCCTCCGCCGTGCCCAGCCAAAGCCTGCTGTAGCACCTCCGAGACAGAGAGCGGCCCCGGCAGCTGACCCCAACTTGCCGCGACCTGTCCGGAGAAACGCTGAGAAAAGAACCTATTACGCCGGACAAAATCAGCGCAAGGTCACGGCCGAGGAAAGGGACCAATGGCCGTGGATTTGTGACCATCACGGTTGTCACCTTCGATTTGAGACAGAACGAGCATTAAAAATCCACCGAAGTAAGGCCAACAAACCAGGGGGAACTCATTCCCAACTTCCTGTCCCCTAGAGTATCTACTGTCTTTGTCGGTACACCTCTTTATCCTTTGCTTTCTTGAGTGTAACCTATACGATAAACTTTTCACCTGAGATTTTCCTTTGGGTGCTCCTACAGACCCTTGGCCCATTGCACCTCTGCGCGAGGCGGGTTGGGGGGAAGAGACTGAGGCATTGGAACCCCTTCGCGGGGCGTCCTCAGTGCCTTGCGCAGCAATTTTGTAACCCTCAAACCAGCGGACTCACCTGTCGCGACATGTCGACCGGCCGACAGCCGAAGCGACCCAGGCAGCCGAACGGGAGCAGACAGTCCCGGGATGCCACAGTTGGGAAGCTCCTCACCATCCATGACATCTCCATCGAAAAGCTCAAAAGCTCCCTTGTGATCTTCCTGTTTGTCCCTAAAATTCTCAATGACAAGATCGAAGCAGCAGCCACAGCATGGAAGGCAAAAAATGTGCCCGGCAAGGGCCATCCGGATGGCTGCTCGTGCACCACTGCCCGACTCAAGGCATTGGTTGAAGGAATCAGTGAGGGCTTGACTAATTCACTGCTACAATGTCCAGCTGAAGCTAAGACCGCCCTCGAACGGATTGTGCAGGTGATCAACAATGGTGGGGCTGAAAGCGTGGTCAGTGACATCACCTTGCGTACCACAGCCACGCGGCCTGCAGATCAGAGTCCCTACGAGGTGTCCTTGGTTGCCTCGGCCGAGGGTCAGATGTTTCGAAGCTCCCTTCAAGCCATCACCCAGCCTGATTCGCCTGGTGAGAACACTCGCGACCGGCCTGAGAAGTGTTGGGAGTTTCGGCCCTACAGACCTCGTCGTGGGGCGCTGGTGAGGGAACTATGAGCAGCGCAAGGCCAGACTGCGTGCGCAGCGACGCGCAGTCTGCTCGCCTGTGATCGCTGCTGCTAATGCACCTGCTCAGCTCGGATCCGCAGGATTCCTCCTGCGCGGCGAGCTCCTTTGAGCTCCAATTTTGCTTGCCACTTTTACTTCATGGTGACCCTGCCAGACTCTTCGGAGTTTAGTGCTACATCATCATCATGGCCATATTTTGTTGGCACTGAAATTTAGGCCTTATTAAATGCCTGGAATATATGGTGGGTACCTCCAAATTAGGATCCTGTTTTATTCCCATTGATGAAAACTGGCTCCATCAAGTCGCTACCACCAAGGTAGACCCGATGATCCCGGCTTGATACCCCGGCCATGATTGACTGATGTTAACTGCTGATCAAAACTGGTTTATATCCCCAAACATGACTGGTTGTTTTATGGCTTTATAAGAGGATATAACCCAATGATTAATCAGTGCATGGCTGTTGACTAACTTGATTACAGCTACTTATAGCCTAGTGATAAGGGATGATAAATGTATATAACTTATATAGCCCAACGAAACATGGCCCATCGTTGAATTATCCACGGTGCCTTCTCTGCCTGTCGGTATGGGAGCTGCTCCGTGTCGATCCTTGGTGAACTTCGATCTACTCAATAAACTGGCTTCCCCAGTATGAAGGATGAGCGGTTTCAAATGGTTTGCCAAAGTTGAATACCTGCAAACAGCAAACATAAT